GGCACCTTAGATGAAGTGAGCTGTAGCTCACGAAAGCTCATGCTCAAATAAATTGGTTAGTCTCTAAGGTGCCACAAGTACTCCTTTTCTTTTAGTGTAACTATAGTTACTCCTCATGTTACTCAGTTCTACAAGACCTTCTTACTCCTTTTCCACCCTGCTCAAAGCAGAAAAAGGGCCCTCTGGGCAGTTGAGAGGGGGTGACAGAGCTCAGACAAATTTACTCCTCTTAGGCTGGATATGGAAAATGGTTGTACCACACCCATTTCATATGTACAGGGTTACTTCATCGTCATTTGTTCTTCAGATTTTCAGTCTTCTTAAATGGGAGTCAGCACATATAACACATCTTATTTATTTATTTATTTTAGCAAATGGTTATGAAAAAGTCAGATTGGCAGATATGAAGACTGAAGTCCTCTATTTATCAACTGAACAAGTATAGCACTGGAATCAGGAATGTAGCAACCGCCATCTTTGAGTTTCAACCCTGACTGTGACCTGACCAGCTCTAGGGATAAGAAGCTGGAGTGGTGGGTGAATTTTGTGATCTGGACAGTTCGTTTACTAGGAACCATATTGAGACTTCTAACTCATTTAATGTTAGCCAAATAATTTTTGGTCCCTACTGACCAGGTCTAGCTTCAAACAAGCAGCCTAAATATGAAAGATTAGAACAAGGGGTCATGCAAATTAGATTAGATCAGGCTGCATGGGAAAGTTTGATACTAACATGTCCAGCCCTGCAATTTCTATGATTCTATCATATGTAAAATTTCCAGGGAAGTAATGTGATGGGGAGGGAGAATGCAACCAAAATAGGCACATACATCACATTGAAGTGAGTTTATAACTTCCTAATACTTCCCTGCATTATTGCTTTTTAATGTAATCAAGCATGGTGGGCCCAACTGAACACCTAACTAAGTCAATGCAAAAACTCCCATTGACTTTAATGGGCATTGGCACAGGCCTTATAATAGCGGTAGGGAAGGTTAGGAATCAGGATTGGGAGGATCGGTGGAGGGATCGTGTACAAGACGATCTCTACCTTAAGAAATGGTCCACAATATGAAACAGTTTGAGAACCACTCCCATATATGATTCAAAACGTTTAGGCTGTAAGTCAGTGCTTCTGCAAAATAAATTATCCTCTTTAATTCCATTATCTCTACCAAACTATCATAGACAGTAGAAATTTGGAGTCCTGCCAAGTCTGAGTTATAGATGTATTTAGTTTTATACTTGTATGGAAGAGAATAGGCCTTTTGTCTGTGATAATAAATAAACTCAACAGGGTGACCCTGCATTACACAGGCTATAGTTGAGCAGGCGGTAATTGATGGGATTTCCATTACTGCATGACACAGTCTGTGTCATAATGAGATCATAGGAGAAACTTTTTTAAACTATTAAATACTATCTTGTACAAGGCAAGCAAGATTTGTATTTAAACATAAAAGACTTGATTTACTGTAACTCTTTAGTGACATGGGTGTAATAAAAGCTGGCTTATATATGCATATGTGAAATAATTTCGTTGAAAATTAAATAGAATATTGAGCTATGTGAAATCAGTGAATGCTTGTTGTGTGAAATGGTGAGTGAAAACTTTTGCCATTTTGATTCAGATCATTTTGACCCCTCAAAAGTATTTGTATATGAATTTCAAAGGAACTATAATTTTTGCATAGAAAAAAAAAGTAAACATTTGAATTATTATAGGAAATGTGGAGCAATTTCTGCTTGATAAATGGCCCTACAGAGAAAAACTTTCAGTTAGAAAATTTTCACAAAAGTAAGACCATTTTATATCTGTAACAGCATGTTAAAACCTCAGTTTCAAATACAAGTTTTTCTTTCATTGGCTGTATTTTGCACATTACTGGAAAATAAAGCCAAATTTCCAGAAGTGTGTGCAAGCATTTTCACAATCAAAAATACATACTCTTTAAGTTCCCAATTCTGCAGATACATACGCATATGCTTAACTTTATGTACATTGAATAGCCCTTTGACTTCAGTGGGATGACTCTCAGTGCATAAAGTATGTGCATAAATGTACATGAATAAGTCTGAAACCTGTCTTGGAGGATTGGAGCTGTAATTTGTACATGCAATTGCCACAGTTGCACATACACTCATGGTAACTGGACATACAACTGACTATACTGGTAGCAATAATTACCACATGATGGTTTCTAAGTTATGTATTATTTCCTTATACTACAAAATAGGTATACTGTTACATATACGGTGGTGTGTGTTAGCTGTTGGTAAAAGGTGAAACTTAAAAGTGGTGATTACTGTATAGAAAAGGACATTTAAAGACACAAACACCTTTTAATTCAATTGAAATACACAAGGCAAGGAGGATATTTTGGAGAGGCAGAATGGCAAATAATATCTATTAAATAGTTTGGTTAAAAAACATGGACTTTTCTTTCTCAACAGGGATGACTGGAATATGTGGATTTTTGGGGGTAGCTATATATTGAGCCCACCCCTCATAAGAGGTTCCACAAGTGATTTATTTGAATCTTATATTGGAGAGACAACCCTGTCCAGACTAAAAAAAAAATCAGTGCACTGGCCATAGATATTCTGTTAAATCATTTGTTGATTCAGACACAAAGATCAGCAGTGTGAGAGAAGCTCCTTTGTGTGAAGTGTCTATGCTCTTTCATGTAGAAAATGGCTTCCAGAAGCCAGCAACATTTCTCCTGATTAGCATAGCCTGCTACAGGGCCAGAGTCCTTATTCATTCAAACCTTCCACTAAAATCAGTGGGAGCTGTGCACAGTGGCATTGGAACAACTTTTATAGTGGGGGTGCTGAAAGCCATTGAACAAAACTGTAACCCCTTTATATGATGGGAACCAATGCAGCCTCCCGCAGCGCCTCTAATTCCAGCACTCCTGACTGTGCCTGGATATGGACAGCTGGTTCATAGAGGTAAGACAGATGATTTTTCACAATTTTTCTGACATTAATGCTGTAGAAGGCCCTATCAGTTAAACAGTGGGTTATAAATATAGTTGCTTTGACAAGTTAGTCACCTATTAGTAGTCCAGGTAGTCACACCACACTGATCTCTTTCTTTCTGAACCTCTAGGAGGTGAGTGTCCCCACTCAGTCTGCCTTTGGATATGAATCTTTCCTATGTACCTTAACAGTGTCTAACTCAGAATATGGCACCTCATTCTTGTGAGATGTAAATTAATATGCAGTAATGACATCATGGCACAGACAGATGAGTAGAGCACTCTTTGTTCCTTCTTCCACCCAGTCCAAGTGTCAGCCTCTGATTAGCAACAGTGATACTAGGGCTACTAATATTTCTATTTCCGGCAGGGACTTTCTCAGATGTCCTCTAGGAAACCTGAACCCAATTTATATATAAAATGTAAATAAGAGAAATTCCCCAAGGAACTACAAAATCTCTGAGGGATAGAGGAATTACTTTAGCACTAACTTGCAGCTAAATAAATGCAATAACTTCTCAAGTATTCTATTCATCTTCATTTCATCAAGTTACTATATTAATGGAACATGAGCAAGTATACCCTGACTCATATATGCATTTGAATCTGTCTCTATGAGAAATCATGTATATTTATATATGAAAAAAGTATCAACATGATGTACAATAAAATTAAAAATATTTGAAACATGCAGAATAGACCCATACACGAATATGTAAAAAGGTTGAATACTAGTTGGAACTGGGATAATTTTGTTAGCCTTAAGAATTGACAGCAGTTCTAGATTAGCACAGTGCTTGAACACCTTCCTGTGACTATAGCTGGCCCACATGTAGGAATGCAAAAGAAGGAAGGCTCCTTTTGCCCTTTCTGCATTCTTATGCATTGTTATGCCCTATATGTTTTATTTATTGAACAAAACAAAGAATCAAAATCCCAGGTCTTTTCTGTGAAATATCTGTTGAAATCCCCACAAAGTGGGCTTATGTTTCTGCAATTTTCCAATAGCTATGGGCACATCCCTCTGCACTTCTCTGTTTAAAGTATATTAAAGTAGATTTAATTTATTGAGACCATGTAAAATGTCCTGATTAATGTGGAAAATGTTGCCTTATTTTCCAAAGCACTTCTCAATGCATCACTCACTTTAGGGGCAGGAAAGAATCATATCTAGTTCTCCCGGTGCTTTTTGATATTTAAATTTAGTATTCTGTCTGTCTCTAAGTGCTGGAGACACTGACAGTGTAAAAACTTCCATGTCCTGCCAAAAGTCAGTTTTACTTCTATTTTTTTTAATCAGACCGCTGAAAATCTTTTTAAAAGATTTGAGGAAACGGCACCACTGTACATAAATCAGAAAATTGAGGTGTTTAAATCAATGGTTATAACCTATTAGGAATGATTGAGTGGGGAAAAGCCGAGGGATATTGCACTCTATGTAAAAAATGGTGCCTGTTTCCAAGTCACTGATAACTCTGAAGAAAATTATCTTGAATGCTTATGGATCAGTGCCTTAATCATGGACAGCGGGTACCATAGGCTGGGGAGGCTGTGCTCCCCCAAACAGCCAGGTGTGGCCCTGCTAACGCTCCACCCCCAGCCCCCCCGCCACCCCGTTTTTGCTCGGCACAGCTGCTCCAATCTCCCTGTGGGTTGGCCCTGTCTCGGGCTGCGCCACCCGCCCTCCCAGGGCTGGGGAGGCTGGGGTCGCATCGCCTGCTCTCCCATCGTTCCGGGGCTGGGGGTGGAACTGGGGCTGCACTGCCTGCCCTCCCAGTGCTCCAGGGCTGTGGCCGTGCTGCCCGCTCCGGAGCTGGGGGAAGGGAGGCTGGGGTCACTAGCCTGGGGTGGGGGCTGGCGGCTATGAGGGGGTAGTTCTGGGCTCCAGCAGGGATGGGGGGGCATGGAAGGGGCGGGGCCTTAGGCGGAAGGGGCAGGGCTAGGGCTATCCTCCCACAGCCGGCGGTTCACGTGCTGCCCATGGCTTTAACCTATAAAGAACAAGATGGGGTATTAGTTGGTGACTGCTACAGACCACCACATCACACTAGGGGAGCGGGATGACGGACTTCTTATTCACCTATCTATAATGTGTAGGAAGAAAACCTACACGATCATGGGTGACTCCAATTTGAGTGATATATGCTGGAGGTCTCATGCTGCCAGTACTAAACCATCCTTGGAATGTTATCATCTAAATATTATAGATGATGGTTTCCTAACAAAAAACGTTACATCAAACACTGGGGAATTCTATATTAGACCTCATCTTGACAGACTAGGAACAGATCACAGAACTAAAAATTAATGGTAGCTCAGGTACAAGTGATCATGAATTGATTACATTTATAATGTGCAAACAGAACAAAGTTCAGACCAGTAATATATAGACACACTTGGTCCTTTAAAAGGGCTGATTTCCCACAGCTGAAAACAATGATGAGCCAAATCAGCTGGGAGCAAGAATGTAATGAGGAAAATGTACATGATAATTGGGAATTGTTTAAGAACACTTTGCTAGATGCCCAAAAGCTACAATATCACAATCAAGGAAGAAGGCCATATTGGCTAAAAAAAAAATGACTTGGTTCAGTGGGGAAGTGAAGACAGCTATATAAAAATATTTATACATTTAACAAATGGAAGAAAGGGGAAGTTGATAGTATGAATATAAATCAGAAGCTAAGAACTGTAGAAAATTGATAAGGGTAGCAAAGGGACACAAGAAGAATTTTTCTGACCAGCAGAGTTAAGGACAATAAGAAGGAGTTTTTAAGTATATTATGAACAAAAGAATCCTAATAATGGTATTGATTAATTACTGGATGGAACTGGTAGAATTATCAGTGATAATGCAGAAAAGGTAGAAGTGTTCAATAAATGTTTCTGTTCTATATTTGGGGGGGAAAAACTGATGATGTAGTCTTATCATATGATAAAACTCTTTCCATTCCACTCATGTCTCAGAAAGATGTTAAACAGCAGCTGCTAAAGTTAGACTTTTTTAAATCAGCAGGTCCAGATAACTTGCATCCAAGAGTTTTAAAAGAGCTGCCTGAGGATTTGATGTACCATTAATGTTGATTTTCAATAAGTTTTAGAAGACTGGGGAAGTTCCAGAAAACTGGAAGAGAAAGGTAATGTTGTAGTGGATGTAATAAACTTCTGTAAAATGTTTGACTTGTTACCACATGATATTTTTTATTACAAAAGTAGAAAAATATAAAATTAGCATGGCACACATTAAATGGATTAAAAGCTAGCTAACTGATAGGTCTCAAAATTTAATTGTAAACGGGGAATCATCATCAAATGGATATGTTTCTAGTGGGGTGCTGCAGGGAACAATTCTTGTCCCTATGCTATTTAACATTTTTATCAATGACACATAAAATCATTACTGATAAAGTTTGCAGATGACACAAAATTGGGGGAATGGTAAATAATGAAGAGGACAGGTCACCGATACAGAGCGATCTGGATCATCCGGATAATCTGGGTGCAAGCAAACAATATGTGGTTTAATACAGATAAATGTCAATGTATATATCTAGGAATAAAGAATGTAGGTCCCACTTACAGGATGGGGGACTTTATCCTGGGTAGAAGTAACTTTGAATTTTTTTTTAGGATAATCAGCTGAACAAGAGCTATCGGTGTGATGCTGTGGCCAAAAGGGCTCATAAGGGGCAAGGCTGGGCAGAAAGGCAAACCTATCCTGAGGACCCTTGAACAAGGATGCCAAAGAAGCCTCACTGTGAGGAAGAAGACTGCTGATCATAGTTGGGGCTGAAGGTTTAGTTGTCTTCTCTTTTCTTATGCTATCTTATATTGGACTTAAAGACTTTGCGGGAGACAGATGGTAAGAACTGATCCACAGAGGCAGCTCTGAAGCACTCTAGAGTGCCTAATATTATTGACCCTCGGAGGGCCCTAGTTCAGAGCCCGGTGGAGTGGGATGGCCCAGGCTCCCCTACTACTGTCCTTGTTGCAAGAGGGGCATAAAACCTCATTTTCGCTCCACCGCCCCCTCTAGTAAGGAGAGGGTAAGAACACTGAAAATGCTGAGGTGAGGATAAGCCACATATAAGTGTTAGGAACTAGAAGGAAGGTCCTTCCTGCTGGGAGGTGAGAAACTGAAAACCAGGTATGCTAACCCTAGGCCACCTAGCCCTCCAACTACTCTACTACAGACGCATAAATGGGGGGAATCTCAAGTAGGAGTAGAGAGGTCATTTTACCACTGTATTTGGCACTGGTGCAGCTGCTGCTGGAATACTCTGTCCAGTTCTGGTGTCCACAAGTCAAGAAGGATGTTGATAAATGATTTAAGGATTAGAATACATTCCTTATAGTGATAGACTCAAGGAGATCTATCTATTTAGCTTAACAAAGAGAAGTTTAAGGGGTGATTTGATTACAATCTGTAAGAAACTATATGGGGAACAAATACTTGACAGTGGTCTCTTAAATCTAGCAGAGATGGGTATAACATGAGAGTATGGCTGGAAATTGAAGCTAGACAAATTCAAACTGGAAATAAGGCATACATTTTTAACAGTGAGGGCAATTAACCCTTGGAACAGTTTGCCAAAGGTCATGGTGGATTTTCCATTACTGGCAATTTTTAAATCAAGATTGCATGTTTTTGTAAAAGAAATGCTCTCAGAATTGTTTCAGGGAAGTTCTATGTCCCATGTTATACCTGAGGCCTGTGTTATACATAAGATTTTCCCTTCTGGCCTTGTAATATATGAATCTGTGAAAATAAAAAGTCTGACCACGCTAGAACTGAAAGTAAATCAGTCTGTTGCCAGTTCTTCTTTCCACCATCATTCATTTTCTAGCCAAGGCTAAAAGAAGAAAATTGAACTACTATGGATTGTTCTTAATGCGTAACGGCCCATTTTTGCAAGGTGCTCTGCATCTGCACTCTCAACTCCCATTGAAATTGATGGGTGCTCATCACTTCTCGAGATTAAATCCTAAATATTCACACCACAAATCCCTCATAGACAATTATATTTTTAAAAATATGTGACAATTTGAATTTGAAAGGGAATGCAATCAAAATATATAGTAAATGGAAAGCATATTTATAGGTTTGAGCAAAAAGTCATAGCAGCTGCATTCTATAATCATTAGTGTGGTACTGGATAAGAATAGCATACCCACCCCTTCCAGAATTTATTATTGTTTTTAAGGAACACAATTTCTTTGACTTAAAGTGTGGGGGGAGACACAAACAGTTTGATTCTACTTGCCTTCAGGGTGTCTGACTTTGTTTTCATCACTAGTTGAAGGATTTAAACACTGTGTTACCAAAAAGTATTAACAATGGTAATTCTCATCCCAGGAGGCACTGGGAAACTATTCAATGCTGTTCAATCTTTTTATAAAAAAAAAGTAATATATTTTTTTTAGTCCTTTCTTCCAAGGCTGCTGCATTTTCAAATACTCCTTTCCCCCAAGAACTGAGGACAGGCTCAATATAAATGATGCTATATACAAGTCTCTGTTATTGGGAAAAAATGTTAGGATTATGCTTTGTGTTGTTTTATTTGTGGTTTTAGTTAGCCAAAAAGTGTTACTGTTTAAAAATGGAGTGTATTGTTGGCTGTGTTGCTGAGCCAAATCATCGTTGCCTTACTTATAAGTACTCTCATTAAAATCAGAGGGGCTTCTCATGTGTGTATATTGGCCACCGTAAAAAGGGGAATTACCCCATTTGTCCATATGTATTACTTTTGATTGTCTTATTATTTGAATCTTTTGTGTGAAAAACTAACACAAACTGCACAAAATAATGTATTTTTAAAACTTGACATTAAATATAAATAACCCTGGTGCTTCCCTTAATTTGATTCTACAAATGCACAGAGTTGAACAAATTGTTAAAACATTTCATGTTGACTAAAGTATTAGAACCACACAAGCACAAAGCACTTTGTTACAGTCCTCTATGCTGGTGCCTCCTTTTTATATTTTGGTTGAAATTCTCAAATGCAATTCGATAAGCATTAAAATAAATGAGGCTAGATTATTGTCTGGGGTAGAGGGAAGAAGGTATATACAGGGTGGGATCTGAAGTGACCTTGCACTATTGAACCAGCCCCTTGTAGCTGGAACAATTCTGTCATTGTTGCAGCCCTATAGTGGATGTTTGCGCTTAGAACCCCCTCATTGTCATAGAATGTTGAGAATGTTAATCAGAAACTATGAGATATGCAGGGAAATGGAGGGTGCAGAAGGGGGGAAGACTCACTACCATGACACATTGCTTACTTGTAATCTTCACTATTGACTTAATTGTTCCTAAATCTCTCCTGACTCCTGACTGACTGCCTTTCCTTATCTATTCTCTAATTCCTCTTTGTAAACCATATATTTCTGATAACAGTGTCAATAACCTAATGGCAATGTAGAAAGCTAAATCCTTTGCCATTCCAGTTTAATTCATCTTTACATTTCTATTCATCTTGGCTGAGATGATAGTCTGTCATTCAGAGATAAAGAAAGGGGATGAGTATTACCAATACCTTGGCACACAAGCCTTAACTAAAAATCTCAATAGTTACTTAGGAGCCTACATTTAATTGAAAGTCAATGGGTCTTAGGCTTGTAAGTCACTTGGCACTTTTGAAAATTTTACCCTTTGAATAGATGATGATAAAACTTGTGCTGTTAGAACTTGTCAGCTAACGTGCTTCAAAAGGTTAATGTAGACAAGTCACGCTGCCTACAACATATGGAAAACTAATTGAGTTAATATCTGGTGGGGAGCCTTAGCTTTAACTTGATCAACTTAGCAGGTTATTTATATTTAAATAAAATAAAATGTTATGATAGAGGATATACTACTTTGTCTTTATTAGACTTTTAAACCATATTAATTAGAACAAGTCAGTTGACATGTTCTAACAATATACCATTAAATCCTAAGGTAGATAAGGCCAAATATTATGTCAGCTAAAATGTACTGTTAAATTTAATGGCCCTAAACATCACAAAACCTCTCTGTTTTTGATTTTCCTTCACTTTGGGGAAAGTTTTGTGAGTTTTGCCATATTGGACTAGGACTTGGACCTAAATGAAGATTATAAAGAATAACAGTTAAATTTGTGTCTCTTATCTCTGACTTCTGGAGCTGTGTGAGACTGGTGTTTCTGTTTGCAGGGGTTTCATGTTTGCACTTTTTTTAAGTTTACATGGGTTCTTCCTCCTGGAGTTTTGCTTTCAATTTCAGATTCAGAAGTATAACCCCCAAATTCAAAGTGAAACTCAGCTGAAACAATCACATTGTATCTGGTTAAGGATTCCATCACTGCTTTCTCAAACTAACCAAATTTCACCTGAAGGTTAGTGATCCTCAGCAAACATTTTGACAAAACTAGACTGATTTTTGGGCTGAACCTGAAACATTTTTGGACTACATTTTAAAATCTTGAATCAATCTCCTACAGAAATAGTATATTATAAAAAGCTGGACTGGGAACAATCTTACTATAAACGCTTCAGAAAGACAAAATATTTGTAATAATGGTATCCCTTTTGGCCCAAGTGGTTACCCAATATTCAGGGTAAGAGGTTGTTTCTGTTAGGAGAAATTGATGATGGAATCAGGTATTTCTTTGATGCAATCATCTTTATTTACAAAGAATATATACAAAATCCTGTTTCCCTGAATACAATGGGAAGTATACAGAAGGAGATGGTTTCTTTGTTCACAGTTCCAAGCCCCCTTCGTGCCAGCACTCTACCTAAAAGCTCACGCTCTTTTCTCAGGGTCATGCTACAAGTGCTTCTCTGGTAATCTCTGGGGCTTTGCTGCCTTCTCTGTGTGTTTCTGTGGTGTTCATGATCCTTCTTCTCCTACAGAGTTCCCTCAAACAACACACAGCCCTGTGTGTTTGCATTCACACTCCAGGAGAAACCCCTCATGGCTCAGCTCCTACTCCAGCCTTGCATGTGGCCTGTGTTCTAGGCAGTGGTTCCTGTCATGTCAGCTATTCCATACAGGTGCTTAATTTTTTTTTAAATTTATCTTGAATGAAGGGCACCTATTACACACCTCAGCTTCAATATGATTTTCCCCAACCCCGAGCATAACCACAACAACACAAGCTCCCTTTATTATATGTTTATCAGCATACATGGCCCTCATTCTGTCATGAGCATATGCTAATTATATACTTATATATAATTGAAACCTACCTAATATGGGACCCAAAAATACACCACTTACACATTCCTGTTGACTTCAATAGGAATTTTTCCTCATGAGTGCCGAGTCAAAATTTTAATTCACATCCCCCATTAATAGGGGGGAGGGAGGGATAGCTCAGTGGTTTGAGCATTGGCCTACTAAACCCAGGGTTGTGAGTTCAATCCTTGAGGGGGCCATTTAGGGATCTGGGGCAAAAATCAGGGATTGGTCCTGCTTTGAGCAGGGGGTTGGACTAGATGACCTCCTGAGGTCCCTTCCAACCCTGAGATTCTATGAATGTTAAAATGAAAGAACTGTGTGAATGTCTAAAAAGCACTTTATGGAATAATAAAAATTAGAAAACATTAGGACTTAGATATTACAAAATGATAGTAGTTTAAAAAGCCACATTTCATGGATAACATTATTAGTTACTAGCAGTGTTACTAGTTGGTGGCAGGAGTACTGTGGGATTGGCCGTTAAGTAACCATCTGAAAGGATAAGTGTATGCTGCTTGTATTTTGTCTCTGCCTGCTCTATGGTTTGGAACTGATGTGTTTTTCAAAGATAGAAGAAAAGAAGATACAGGTAATAGAAAATAATATACTGAGGAGAATGGCAGGCACATGAAGGGTAGACAGAGTGTGCATGGAAGAAATTAGGGGGAAGATGAATTTAGGATTATCAGTGATAGACAGGCTGGAGAATGAACATTTGAGTTGGGCTGGGTATGTAATAAGAGTGAGAGAAGAACAACCAGCAAAGAAATCATGGGAGGAAGAGGACATCAAAAAAATAATGTGAAAGATCAAGGATATGATGGAAAGACTTTGTCTTGTGAAGTTTGAAAAGAAAAGAAATGGAACCTCAAGACCTACAAGCCAGTGCCATGGGCTGGAAGGAGAGGCGGACAATTGTGAGTACCTCTAACCCCATGTAAACTGGGGAAAGAGTCAAGAAGTAAAGTGAAGTTAGTTGACATTACTGGGAAACATGTTAACAACAAAACATTAGGGACAGAAGGTAAACCATAAATTCCATGACAAATTTTAAAATGTGAACAAGTGACAGAGTTTCAGAGGAACAGCCGTGTTAGTCTGTATTCGCAAAAAGAAAAGGAGTACTTGTGGCACCTTAGAGACTAACCAATTTATTTGAGCATGAGCTTTCGTGAACTACAGCTCACTTCATCAGATGCATACCGTGGAAACTGCAGCAGACTTTATATATACACAGAGAATATGAAACAATACCTCCTCCCACCCCACTGTCCTGCTGGTAATAGCTTATCTAAAGTGATCAACAGGTGGGCCATTTCCAGCACAAATCCAGGTTTTCTCACCCTTCACCCCCCCACACAAATTCACTCTCCTGCTGGTGCTAGCCCATCCAAAGTGACAATTCTTTACATAATCAAGTCGGGCTATTTCCTGCATAAATCCAGGTTTTCTCACATCCCCCCCACCCCCATACACACACAAACTCACTCTCCTGCTGGTAATAGCTCATCTAAACTGACCACTCTCCAAGTTTAAATCCAAGTTAAACCAGAACATCTGGGGGGGGGGGGGGGGGTTAGGAAAAAACAAGAGGAAACAGGCTACCTTGTATAATGACTTAGCCACTCCCAGTCTCTATTTAAGCCTAAATTAATAGTATCCAATTTGCAAATGAATTCCAATTCAGCAGTTTCTCGCTGGAGTCTGGATTTGAAGTTTTTTTGTTTTAAGATAGCGACCTTCATGTCTGTGATTGCGTGACCAGAGAGATTGAAGTGTTCTCCGACTGGTTTATGAATGTTATAATTCTTGACATCTGATTTGTGTCCATTTATTCTTTTACGTAGAGACTGTCCAGTTTGACCAATGTACATGGCAGAGGGGCATTGCTGGCACATGATGGCATATATCACATTGGTGGATGTGCAGGTGAACGAGCCTCTGATAGTGTGGCTGATGTTATTAGGCCCTGTGATGGTGTCCCCTGAATAGATATGTGGGCACAATTGGCAACGGGCTTTGTTGCAAGGATAAGTTCCTGGGTTAGTGGTTCTGTTGTGTGGTATGTGGTTGTTGGTGAGTATTTGCTTCAGGTTGCAGGGCTGTCTGTAGGCAAGGACTGGCCTGTCTCCCAAGATTTGTGAGAGTGTTGGGTCATCCTTCAGGATAGGTTGTAGATCCTTAATAATGCATTGGAGGGGTTTTAGTTGGGGGCTGAAGGTGACGGCTAGTGGCGTTCTGTTATTTTCTTTGTTAGGCCTGTCCTGTAGTAGGTGACTTCTGGGAACTCTTCTGGCTCTATCAATCTGTTTCTTCACTTCCGCAGGTGGGTATTGTAGTTGTAAGAAAGCTTGACAGAGATCTTGTAGGTGTTTGTCTCTGTCTGAGGGGTTGGAGCAAATGCGGTTGTATCGCAGAGCTTGGCTGTAGACGATGGATCGTGTGGTGTGGTCAGGGTGAAAGCTGGAGGCATGTAGGTAGGAATAGCGGTCAGTAGGTTTCCGGTATAGGGTGGTGTTTATGTGACCATTGTTTATTAGCACCGTAGTGTCCAGGAAGTGGATCTCTTGTGTGGACTGGACCAGGCTGAGGTTGATGGTGGGATGGAAGTTGTTGAAATCATGGTGGAATTCCTCAAGG